TGGAAGAGGCTGCTGCATCAGAAATAGCAAGTTCCCCATATGAATCAGAAATCCACTGTGGAAGAATTTTACAGTTCTGTTTTTGTGCTCTTCTGCCAGAGTCAGCTTGAATTTCGGAAAGATTTGGGGACAGAACCCTGCCCCGGCCCAGAGAGGGAGTGGCTGATCCGAGGGGAGGAGGAGCTGCCTGTGGAGCTGCAACTTGACTGCGGGCGGGCACGGGAGGCTTCAGAACAGTCAGACTTTGGAGAGAGCAGTGCTTACTCTCTGCTCACTTCTAGATCTCCAAGGTGTAGCCAGTAGAAACCTGTGCAGGAAAACGAGGATGCTTTTCTGATTCATCTGGAAAGAGAGGGTTTTTGTTTATTCCCCACGTGGGCAGATAGTGGTGGTGATGTTGTGTTTTCAGAGCCAGAAAGAAAGTTCTGGGCTGCATAATGCCTGTATTTCAGGCAAAGAGAGCCCAACAGCACGACGGTCTGGCTTTATCACTGACTCACTGCAAATCCCTTCTCTCCTATGCTTTATTCATTTTCTTATTTTAAATGACAAGAATATTATTTATAATTTTTAAATACTTAAATGACCACAGGACATACTTTTTAAAATTTTATTTTTTAGTTATAAGTTGACAAATTATAGTTGTATATATTTATGGGCTACAGAGCAGTTTATGGTTTATGAATACAATGTGGAATAATGAAATCAAACTAATTAACATATCTGTTACCTCAATTATTTTTTTTGTGATGAGAACCTTTGAAATTTACTCTTAGCAGTTTTGAAATATACAGTGTATTATTTACAATATTCACTACACTGTGTAGTTTATATTATCTCAAAGAAAAAAAGCTTTTCTTCTTCTCTAATTGAGGTTTTGTACCCTTTGACTATCATCTCCCCATTTCCCCCACCTTCCAGCCTCTGTAACCATCGTTTTCCTCTCTGCTTCTCAGAGTCTGTTTGTTTTAGAGTCCACATGAAAGTGGGAACACACAGCATTTGTCTTTCCATGTCTGGCTTATTTCACTTAGCATAATGTTCTCCATTTCCATCCAAGTTGTTGGAAAGGCAGAACTTCTTCCTTTTCAAAGGCTGACTAGCACTCAGTGTCTATATACCTCATGTTCTTTATCCCTCCATCTGTTGATGAACACTTAGGTTGATTCCATGCCTTGGCTATTGCGAATAGTGCTGCAATGAACAAGGGGGTGTGGATATGTCTTCTGCATACTAATTTCAAATCTTTTGGGGAAATACCCAGATGTGAGATTGTGAGTTCATACGGTAATTCTATTTTTAGTTCTTTGAGGAACCTCTATGCTGTTTTCCACGATGGCTATCCTGATTTCGATTCCTACCAATGGTGTACGAGTGTTTGCTCTTCTCCCATACTTTGTCTTTTAGATCTAGTCTGTTCTGTTCCCTTTCTTGCATCAAAGTATTTGGTAAAGAAAGATGGAGTGGATTTTAATTTCTCAAGGAAAGACTATATGCTACGTTCAGGGTTCTCATGTTGGTTTTTGTTCTGTTTTGTTTTTTTTTGTTTGTTTGTTATTGTTGTTGTTGTTTTGGGATGGAGTTTTGCTCTTGTCCAGGCTGGAGTGGCTGGAGTGCATGCAAGGTGCAATCTTGGCTCAATGAACCTCCGCCTCCCAGGTTCAAGCGATTCTCCTGCCTCAGCCTCCTGAGTAGCTGGGATCATAGGCATGTGCCACCATCCCTGACTAATTTTGCATTTTTAGTAGAGACAGAGTTTCACCATGTTGGTCAGGCTGGTCTCAAACTCCTGACCTCAGGTGATCTGCCCACCTCTGCTTCCCGAAGTGCTAGGATTACAGATGTGAGCCACTGTACCTGGCCATAGCTTTTTTCTGACAAGGTCCTCTTATATCTCTAAGACTTAGGATTGCTAAGACAACAAAAGATAACATTACTGGCCAACCTTGGAATTTGGGTCTTGGGAAATGGAGGCCTGTAGTTTGTGACCCATAAGGAGGAACTGAAGGAGCTTAAGTGCAGATGGACAGATGAGAATCCCTGGTAACAGAAGAGACAAGAACTGGAGATCAATGCCAGTAGTTTGTGATGAATGTGTTGGGGTTCCTGTGTGATTAACAAGTTGGGATTTCTGTATTAGTTTCATACTCGCCTGTTATAGTTTACCAATGGTGTTTCTGAAAGATGAACATGAAACTAAAACCTTTCATGTTTCCTCAAGGGACTTTGATTCTAAAATAACTCTGAGAACAGATCAGGAAACGTGATATAACCCTAACCAAGCTTGACACATTTTTGTTTTAAATAACAGTTATACTTGAGGAGATGATTTTACTCCTGATGCTGTGCAAAACCATAGGGATTTTTGGATTTCACTGGTTTGGAGTTTGCTAAGTGATGGATAACAGCAGAGTGCTTCCCCAAGAGGCCACTGTGAGCCTCTTACTTAGGTTAAGAACTTGACCTCTTAGGTTTTATACCACCATAAACTGCACCAATCTTAAGTGGTTAGTTTCATGAATCGTCGTTTCTTTGAAGGCGTTCACATTTAAAATCAGCTTTTAAAAATTGTGGTGAAATACACATGAAATTTTACCGTCTTAACCATTCTTAAACGTAACAGTTCAATGGCATTAAGCATATTCACATTGTTCCCCAATCATCACCATATTCATCCACAGAACTCTTTCATCTTGTAAAACTGAAACTCTGTTCTATTAAACTATAACTCCCTCTTCCCCTTCCCCCAGCAAGAGCATTCTGCTTTCTGTCTCTATGAATTTGACTACCTCTTATAAGTGGATTCATGTAGTATTCATCCTTTTGTAACTGGCTTATTTCGCTTAGCATAATGTCCTTAGGTTATCGGTGTTAGAGCACGTGTCAGAATTTCCTTCCTCTGTAAGGCTGAATAATATTCCACTGTATATATTCCGATGTATGTATGTGTATACACACACACACAGAGACACCACATTTTGTTTATCCATTTGTCTGTAGAGGGACACTTGTGTTGCTTCCACTTTTGGCTATTGTGAGTAACGCTGCTGTGAACATGAATGTGCAAACATTTCTTTGAGTTCCTGCTTCCTATTCTTTTGGGCATATGTATATCTAGAAGTGGAACTGTTGGACCATATGGTGATTCTATTTTTAATCTGGTGAGGAACCTCTGTACTGTTTTTCATGGTGGCTGCACCATTTTACCTTCTTACCAACAGTGTATAATGATTCAAGTTGCTCCACATCTTCATCAACATTTGCTATTTTCTGTTGTTCTGTTTTGAGTAGTAGCCATTCTAATGGGTATGAGTGGAGTTCAGTGAGTCTTGGCAGATGTGTATATCTGGGTACACTACCCCAGTCAAAGTAAAGAACCTTGTCTTTACCCCTTGATGTTGCCTCACACTCCTCTACAGTTAGTGTCCCTTCTGCCTCACCAGTGCCCTAACCACTGGCCCCAGACAACCACCTTTGCACTTTCCAGCACTATATATTAGCTTTGTTTGTTCTAGAGTTTCATATAAATACTTTGTTTGGCTTCATTTAGCCAGAATAATGCTTTTGAGGCTTATCGAAAACCCTAGTCTAAAATCAAATGTGGAAGGAAAATAAACCCCAGTGTGACTGGAGTTCAATACTGTGCTAATGGCTGGCCAGAGAGTACCATGGGGCTCAGAAACAAAGAGAGAGGAGGAGATCCTGGGGAGGACCGAGGAAGGCAGGAGAGGGCCCTTCTAACAATGAGGCCTTCAGGAAGCCCAACAAGTCATGGCATTTAATGTCAGTTCTATGGTTTCAGGGGCAGCCAGTTCAATTAATCAGCAAGCATTTCTTGCAGGCCTGCTACGTACAAGGCGCTGCCAAGAATTAGAAACAGAAAAGTGGGGGCCCAGGATGAGAATCTGGGGAGGGAAGACTCTGCCTTAGAATTCACACAACTGGATAATGCTTTTGTCAGAGGACAGACACACAGATAGACCTTATTGACTTGGTGACCAAAAGAACCGAAAAGGAATCTAGTTTGACTTGTTGGTAAATGTGAAAGCCTGAACTCTGTACACCACAGATGTTTTGCATGTGGGTAGGTTTGGTAACCTTAAACAGCTCACTAAACAGGCAATGCTAGAATACTGTAGATGTGATAAAGATTACTTGGAGAGAACTGTAATAGAAGAATAGCTAACATTTGATGAATCCACAATGACTAAACCATTCTAAGTACTTACATGATGTAATAACTTGATTAACTTTTACAATGGTACTATAAAGGAACTATTGTTATTAACTCCATGTTACCAATGAGGAAACTGAGGCATAAGAGACTGTACCTTGACCCAAATCACCCAGTTAGACGGTATATTTAGGACGATTATAAATCCAAGTGGTTGTGCTCCAGGGCTCCAACCACTTTCTTATGGAGGAAGAATGGGGTGGTCATTGAAGAAGTTTCTGTTTATATGAATGGCCCATAATGCAACATTAGCAGCTAGGCCAGGAAGTTGGCTGCACCATAGTTAGATCTGGACCTTTCCTTTTTTTCTCATCAGAAGGATGGCATAGATCGCCCATCCTGGGGTGAACTTGTGTTGCCCACAGTGCCAGCACCTTCCAGACCTTGGGTGATGTTATTACCACACACACTGCCCAGAAGGCAAAACCATCACTCACCTGCAGATCGGCCTGTTTCCTAGCTATAAAGTAGAGGGATGGGTCAGACGCTCTCTAAAGTCTTTTCTACCCTAACAATACAATCTGGCTGAAATGCACTCTTTCTGGTGGGGGCAAGAATTTCTCTTGTATTTCTACTCCCATTTTCTTTGCATACTTATGTTTTAGCCTTAGAATTACTCTCTCATATATGGTTACTTCATATTTTGAGCTGAAATAGAGAACATCAACTCTGAGTGATCAGAAGAAGAGTCATGCCTTTAAGCCTGGCAGGTGCTGCCTCTAAAAGCACAAGTAACTGCCATCAAGGGCTGAAAAAAACATGTTGCAGCTGTGCCAACCATATCTGAGGCTTTGAATGAACGCCTGTAATGTTTTCAGTTCATAGCAAAAGCTAGAAGAGCTATTTTTGGCATTCCTTTCTCCCCTTGCCGGTATATACTGGATAGTCTTAATATTGCTGGTGCTAAAATAAACATAACCAGATGCAGTCATTATATCTAACCTGTTTTAACACTGGATTCAGATACCCCAAAGGCATGATGATGCATCGGTATTCTCTGAAGTAGGCTGTACTTTGGGAACTTTGCTATTGTGGTTGGATCAGCCATGACCTCCCTACCTGCACTAATCGCTAAACACAGGATGCTGGGCCCTGTTTTAAGGGGGGGCCACAGAATGTGCTTGGTTGGAATCTTTATGTCTGTTTTAGCTGGCGATGGCACAACTCTGACCATGTGTCTGCCCAAAGAGACATATTACAGAGCCATGCCACATTGTTCTCCTACCAGAAAGGCTGTATGGCTGAATCAGAGCAGGACATGTGGGAATTAGAACTGTGCTGATTTCTTGAAATGGCTACCAGCCATCTGTCTGCCCGTCAAAGTGTGGTCCAGTTTCCATCAGATAAGTCTGGAAGAGGAAGGTTTTTGTTGTTATTTTGGTTTTTGCATCCAACTTGTTAAAAGGTATGAAGAACAAGAAAGTTTCAGCTCAGCAAGAAATGTTAACAATTTAAAGTTTTTATTCTATCATTATCCTAAAAGCTTCTAGAATTGTCATCTGCCTTTTCACCTAATTATACACATATACACACACACTTTATATGTATACACTTTGCATATGTTATGCATATTATATAAATATATATGTATATGCACATATTGAAAGTACGTGTATATATGTATATATAATATTATTTACATAATTATACACAGGTATACACATACTTTATATAATATATGCAAGTATATATGATAGCATGTATTCAGCATGGTATAATATAAAGGTCTGTAAATACAGGCAGACCTATGAAAACATAGCTCTTATCACCTATTACTGAGTGACTTGGAGTACTATGCTTAACTTCTCTAAAACTTAAATTATCATGTCCAGTTTACTGGACAATGATAGGGCAAAATGATATAATAGTGATAAAATACATAAGCATTCAGTACAACTAAATGCTCAGTAAATACTTTAAAATAAAGTCCCTCTAGCTCTAGCAGACAGAACAAGGAATATAAGGCCAGCTTTCCAATGGTTACAGCTGCTTAGCAGTGGCAAAGCCTACCTGCAGAGGAGTGAGCCCATGGCCAGAGAGAGGATGACTGGAAGCTGGGAGAGGACCACTGAGAAAGGCTGTAGCGTCCTTACAACAGGAAATTCAACCAAGTCATCTCCGCAGCCTCCAGGATGTTTTAAAAATGGCAGGTTACTCTTAAACATACAAGGCATAGGGGATCATATACTGTCATGAAAGGTATACAGACAGAATGAAAGTGTGCCATTTAGTACCTCAAATGGTTCCTGGAATGGGGCAGGTGTTCAGATAATGTGTGTTGAATGAGTAAATGAAGGAATATGAAATATCAGTAAAACGATCCTGTCAGTCCCGTGACAGCCATGATCAGCATTACCACCACTTCAGTTTCTTGTTTCTAAGGTCACTGGCCTGAGAGGAGGGAAATCCAAACAGTTTGTCTGCAATTAAAGGGCAGAAGGCCAGGTGCAGTGGCTCATACCTGTAACCCCAGCACTTTGGGAGGCAGAGACAGGCAGACCACTTTAGCCCAATAGTTCAAGACCAGCCTGAGGAATATAGTGAGACCTCTTCTCAAAAGAAAAGTTAAAAAACGAAAAAAACCCACCACCAACAAAAAAACAGCCAACCAAAATTTCAAAGGTCTCTAGTCCACAGGTGGCACCAGGGGCCACTCAGAAAATTAAAAAAAATTACTTAGGAGAATCTAAAGCACTGTATTTGGGGCTTCATTATATCTGAAGCAAGTTGAATATGGTGCCCAGAGAAACAAGGTATGGAAGCTGCACATTTATAAAGATTATTAGAATATTCTTTGATGTATGAACTACTTGAAGCTTGGGCCTGGGAACTAAGGCCATTCAACAAAGCAAGGATTAAACTATCAGCATGTGGGACCCAACCAGCTTTCCCAGCAATCATTGAGACCACTGTGACTCTCCTTACTGTTATAAAATATAGATACTTAGCCCTACCTCTTAAGGCAAGCTAGAACTCACCACAACCAGTTTTCACTACTGTAGTGTCCAGTCGCTTTCAAATCAGGCAAACTAGGTGTTTTATCCCAGTCTGGCTGCATACTTAACTGTATGACCTTCAAGCAAATTACACAACTTTTCTAAGTCTCAGTTTTTAACTTGTTAAATGGAAATAATAGTCATTGTCCCAGAGGTTACTGAGCAGATTAATTAAGATAACATAGAGGAGTATTTAATAAATGTTCCTTCCCACTTTCCCCTGCCTTTTACACAAAGGAATCGTTAGAGTAAAAACTGGCTTTGGCATGATGTGGGAAGGGCAGAGGGATGTTTTAAATTATATGTAAAATACATTTTTTTTTTTTTGAGACAGAGTCTCCCTCTGTCACCCAGGCTGGAGTACAGTGGCATGATCTCAGCTCACTGCAGCCTCTGCCTCCCAGGTTCCAGGGTTTCTCCTGACTCAGCCTCCCGGGTAGCTGGGATCACAGGCATGCACGACCACGCCCGGTTAATTTTTATATTTTTAGTAGAAACATATAAAATGGTTTCCTGATGTTGGCCAGGCTGGTCTCAAACTCCTGACCTCAGGTAATCTGCCTGCCTCAGCCTCCCAAAGTGCTGGGATTACAGGTATGAGCCACCACACCAGACCTAAAGTACATATTTTTGAATTACTTGTGGATTGAAAGGATTATTATTGCCCTCAACAATGCTGTGAATAGCTAAAATTTGGACAAAAGACCGTCTGTAAGTTACTAGCCGGGTGCTAGACTGGAATCAATTCTTATTTAAGATGACCCAGCAGGCAGGCCTCCAAATTTGTCTGCATTCCTTTAGCTTACACATCTTGCCTTTGAATACATGTTTAAAATGTTATTTCTCCCGACTCAAACCCCCTCACTACAATAAAACTTCTCTTACTTTTAGAAGGATCTAAGTTCCAAGAAAAAAAAGATGGAAAAAAAGAGAGTTATTTTCCTTTTCCTATTTCATAGACAGTTTTGAAAGCCTTTAGTGTTTGGGTGGGGCCCAGTCACACCCTTTGCAATTCGCAGGCCAGTGGTTTAAATTTGTCATCCTTGTGGGCTGTAAAATGAAACCATGTACCAAAGAAAAATAGTGAATGACTCACACACATGTGATCTTCCAGCGAAGGGAAGGATTCAGTAGGAATGTGCCATGAGGCCACAGGTCCCTTCATAATGTAGGCTCAGGTGGCCTGTTCTAGGATGTGGGTCAATGTTAGGAAACTGAACGGAGACTGCGAAGTTAGTTGGGGTCTGAAAGAGAGCATCAGTTACCGGGGTGAATTTACTACAATGCCACATTCAGCAGGCCTAGAGAAACTATCCCTCAGCACAGCAAGAAAGGGAGGGTTCCTATTCACCAGGTTCATTACACCTGTACACACAAACACATGTGCAGACGCACGTTGCTAATTTATTTATCTACATTAAGAAATGTGGGGCCAGGCATGGTGGTTTACACCTGTAATCCCAGCACTTTGGGAGGGCAAGGAGAGAGGATCGCTTGAGCCTGGGAGTTCAAGCCTAGCCTGGGCAATGCAGTGAGTCCTTGTCTCTAGAAAATTAAAAAAAAAAAAAAAATAGCTGTGTGTGGTGGCATGTGCCTCTAGTTCCAGCTACTCAGGAGGCTGAGGTGGCAGGATCTCTTGAGCCAAGGAGTTCAAGGCTGCAGTGAGCTATGACTGCACCACTGCACTCCAGCCTGACACAGAGCAAGACTCTGTCTCAAAAAAAAGGAAAGAAAAAAAAAGAAAAATATTATTTAGGCAAAAATCTTCATGCTCCAATAATTGTAGACAGTTTGATTTGGGAAATCAAACACAAGTCTAAAAGGTGCTTGGCAATCCTGGAACAAGGGATATTAGATAGACAGAATTCATCTTCATCATGGTCAGATAATGGGGAAATATCTGACCCCAGACCACTGGCTTCACCCTTTCTGTAGGACAGGGCTTAGATGAATATTTCAAGGTAAGCATCTGTGCCAGTTTTGCATGAAGCTTGCTTTGCTGATGGACACAAGTTTTCTTTAAACATGGTAATAACTTTCAGCAAGCCTGCTTCCACCCAGAAGCTATTCTTTCCCATTAAGATGAGTTTGCATATCTTTGTTTTGATGGTTGTTTGCTGATTTTACTAGTCTAATGCTTAGGGAACTATCTACTTTGCCTGCTTTCCACATTCCAGAGTGAGAGAGGAGAATGCACCACACTGTTGCCTCCACGTATAGCTACTAACCAGGAGTTGAAATCAGAAGTCCTTGTTCTACATCCCTGCAGTCTGCCATAAGGACATAAGAAACTTTCTACTTAAGTCATCACCTGGCTTGCCAATTTCTGGCAGATACAACCGGTCAATTTGCATTATAGTGTATTATCATCCTTCTGGACATGCTGGAAACCAGGACAGATGTATTCTCAACATACCTAATTTTTCTTTATGAATTCATTGTCAGTTATTTTCATGAGTTTTTGTAATCTTAGTTGAAATAAGTTGAACTTATTCACAACTTATTTTCCCCTTTTGTAACTGCTATTGAGATAGGTCTCTTATGTTTAATTCCCAACTCTCTTTTAGTTGCTCTAAAACTATGTCTTAAAAACTTCAGATCCCTATCCCAAGCCCTAGTTGTAGAGTTCAGATACTGTTAAGAAGTTGTAGTCGCCCACCCAGATTCTTTATGACTCTAGATTTTTAAAGACATCACTAAAAAGTGTGTCATCTTCAGCCTTCATCCTTCCATCTGGAACTGTCCTGACGCTTTTAGAGTTATTTGAATCATCCCCAAATTGGGAGTGTGTTTGCATTTTACAGATTTAAAAACTGAGGCACAGTTGCTAATTACTTTGCCCCATCTGTGAGCAGCAAAGGAGCTTTTAATCCCCCAACATAGTCTGAATCATTGTGGACTTGGTCACAATGTGCAGCTTATGGATGGTAGGAAGGCCTTCAGAGAGAAAAAACAAAGGAAACAAGGAAGCTGAGGTAGCAAAGAATGTCAGGCAGAGGCTCTGTGAAGAGCGTGGCACTGAGAGGCAGGTGGAAAATGAGGTGGGAAGGTTATAGGTGGAGCTTCAGGAAGAAAGGCTTTTCATCCCTCTGGAGCTATCATTCAGTGCAGCTAAGAGAGGCCTACAGCAATTGTGTTTTGGCGGGGGGTGGACTTCTTTCCTCTCTTTCTGCTCCCCCATCCTTGTGCCAAGAGTTATTGAGACCTTACCAGGTGCTGGGCACTCTGCTAATAAGCACTTGTATGGACTGGCTTTACAAATACTATCTGATCTAATAATAAATTGAGGAGTACCGTTTTCTGCATTTATTTCTATACTCTATTTAGAAATTTGTTTGGAACTAGTAAAACTT